TCGAAGGCTTAATACTTGTACACATATTTCATACATTAATCCCTCCTATGATTCTTGTATTTAGGGAAATAAAATACCCATATCTTTTGGCACATAATTTTGAAGTCTATCGTCTTTTTTTTTTTACTTGTCTATCTATTTTTCTATCTGTTTGAATGTTTGTCTGTTTGTGCACATATATCTATATATAAAATATATTAATTTTATTATTATTAATATTTATTATTAAATAATTAAAATTATATAAAAAAAACATTCTTTGGGTATTTCTCAATCGATGCTCTCATTTTATTTATTTTTTTCAAACAATACTTCTAATTTGAAAAAAAAAAAACCCAAACTATCAATTTTTTTTTTTTTTTGCTATTATAGTGTTTTAACCACCACAATAAAAACACTATAGAGCATATTTGAAAACACTATAGATGGGTTAAATGCAATCAAAACATACTAGAAACCATTTGGTATATCATACTTTGATTCGAATAAATATTTATAATAATTTATTAATAGTATCACCAAAATATAAGAAAAAATTAGTTTGTTACCATGTTCTAACTATTAATAAAATAAAATAAAATACTACAAATGATCTAAATGAACTTCTAACCTCAACTAAACAAATTGCAAACCTAAAAATATGGTGTTGCAATGGTTTATGAGTAAATACAATGTAATGTCACTCATAGTATTTTTAATATATTAATAAAACACTATAAATATCATTGAAAAATACTATAAATGAGTCAAATGAAAAAACGATAACGATTGAAAACTAATAAAAGAACAAGTAAAAAAAGAGCCAGAAGACTTTGCACACAAAGCTGAAGTGGTAGGTGCAAATCGATCGATTAAACTATGATCAATTAAATATGAGCTTGTCGACAAGCATTAGGTCAATTAAATTATTTCTTTGGTAGTATAACACAAAGCGTATGCATGCATATATATATATATATATATATATACACAGACATATGAATTTTTTGGTACGTACTGATATGATTAATGTGACATCAACAACACCATCACATATCTGCCATGGAATTGATCTCAATCTCTTTCGGAAAAGGCAAATAATAATAATTAGGCTAAAGAACACCAACATAGACAGTTCTATAGTCCTCAGAGAGAGATCATGATGCGTTTTCTAACTTGATATGATGTGCTTATATATTTCATATCAAGTTTCCGTTTTTATTTTTCGGAAATGAATTGTCAACATTCCTGTTTAATCCAATATCGTGTATGGACAAAGACTTGAATGGTGATAAAAATATCACGATAGACACACACATGGAATAATACTTCTTCTTTTTTTAGATTCTCAATCAATCTATGGTATTCGAGTAGTTGATCCGATTACATGATTTGAGTGTTCAAATATTTCTTAATCAATCCTTTTCACAATATATTCCTCGATTATATGGTAGAAGAGAACTACCAATCGCTTGTCACCTTCAGATGCACTCAGTTTTCCAATATCTACGTATACTCAGATGTCATCGTAAGAAATCCAAGTGAAGCTGTTTACTACTTCTTTCTCAGCACGGAGTCTTCATTTCAGTAGGCAAGTGATGATTCATCTCTCTCTCTCTCTCTCTGTGTCTCTCTCTGTGAATTTAAGGTGCATTGTCGAGTACGTAAAATAACATCCATGACTTGAGCTCCCCAAATGCTTTGAATCGAAGTGGAACGAATGACACTCCATCTCATACTTGCATCACATCAGAAACAACACAGTGTCACAGAACGCCGTAACGTTGTCAACGACCAAAACCACCCGTCATTGACTCGCGATTCTTTTATGCTACGAAGAAGGACTTGAAATGGTCGATAGGGGGGAGAGGAGGACAAGTGCTCGGTGAGAGGCACAAGTCGTACGCATACGTATGCCTGGGGAACGTGACACGCTCGCTACTGCCTTGAGTCCTACGGCTTCTGCCTTTCTTGAATCGAAAAGCTACTTCCCATTAAACAAACCAGGCTGACTTCATGGAGTTTGACTGTTCAACCTGAAGAAAGCCGATTCCCACTCGGAGTTTCCTACTTGGTTAACCCTCCCCATGGAGATCAGCAGGATGTGGCGGCAGACAGCAGGTATTAGGGTTACATATATGAATAGGTTTGGAATATTAGACGATCAGAGAGCTGTCAGTCATAACACAAACAACTTAGTTTAGAAGAAAGAGAAGCAAGTTCTTCATCTTGCGTTTGCGGAATGATGGAGGAAACAAAAGTAATTTTCCTTGAGAAGAATAATGCCATACTCGTGCTTGACATATACTGAAGTAACTATCGGTATCAGAGAAAATGGAGCTTTGTATTTGCTAAGATGATATGCTATTGACAAGTCTTTTTTGGATGATCTGAAAACTACCGATTATATCACAAACAACTTGTTTCAGTGAGCAAAAGAATGAAAAGGAAATAGACAGATTCTCTATCTTGTGTGCTTAGAACAAGGAAGGAAACAAGTAAATTTCCTTGAAAAGACTTATGCCATGCTTACACTGAGACCTATCTATATACGATGATCTTTAAATATTATGTCAAGTGGAGCTTGTTGTTCTCAGTGGTTTGTGTATTTCTTTTAGGTTGGTAAGTATTTTTAGGTTTTTAGAGTCAAGGATACAAATTTGACAACACTTCTATATATCGAAAAGACACTCTAAAAACTAGAGCTTGATTATTTTGTAAATACTCCATCTATCTCTAGGTTTCAATCGGGGATGTGGAAAAAACACTTTTATGTATTTTCATGATTTCTTTCAAATTTTTTGAATAAATAAAAATTTTAGAATTTATATGAGAATTTGTAGAAGATGAACTAAACTCGAGTTTTGAGTTAATTCAATAGATCTTTTAGCTTTAGTTTGTTTGAAGAACCAAACTATGTAAAAGTTACTGGTGAAAGAAAAATCTTTGATTAAAAAACAAAGAACACATGATTTTTTACTATGTGAGATTAATTAATTATAAGTCCACGACTCGAGTATAAATTCATATATATATATATATATATATATATATTTGTTCTTATCCTCTCTAGATTTACTAAAATGTCTAAAGTATTTTCTCACATCTTTCTCTCCATCACAATCTGGAGGAGATATATGAGGTATTTATGGAATAAATAAATTATAATTTTTATTTTTTTTTCCATATTAAGTTTTCTTATCCTCTAAAATATCTATTGACATAGAATTCTTCTGATAGCTTCAACTTCATCTGTATCTTCGATGTAGACTACAACTGGGAGTATTTTTTTCTGGCAGATTATAATTGAAGACACTGCAATCCGTGCATCCACATCTCTCGAGCTGCTTTCATGATATCATGGCACCGGGAGCGACGACACATCACGCAACTTGCTCTTCGCTTCACCACCTTGCAAAGACTTCCATGGAAGAACATGACAAACCCACCTGTATCCATCGCTCAGGTCTCTCCGTGCAGTGAGGTAGTAGAAGACTGCCACTTCTGCTACGTTCAGAATAAACCTCTCTGTGCTCCTACCAAGTGATGCTCGTGCTAATCTATAAAAGTATTTGTCACGTAGACGGTATGTGGTCGATCGGCATCTGTGCTTCCTTGGAGAAAATTCAACCCGGCATGGCAGCAGACTCATCTCTTCGAGTCAATGCCAGAAAACGAAGCTTTTCACGTTGACTGGGAAGCCGAGGGGCTTGCATGTGTGGTGGACTTTCTGTGAATCCACATGATATTTTAATTCCTTTTGGGTTGGTGTCACCTAACTCTCGAGCTCACAATAGATGAGACGGTCAGCCATCTCTCGAGAAAATAAGATATATTATGGATATGATTTAATTTTGATTATAATTATTAATTAATTAAAAATAAAAAATAAATTAATATAAAATTTTAAATAAGATTATTTTGATCGAAGGGATTCTCCTAATTAATTATTATAGTTTTTTTACTTTCGATTATAGATAAATATGACCTCTTAGGGTCCATATATATATAATATATATAATAATTAGATATGTGAATTATATGAATGTATGAATATGTGACATGATTGAGATAAGAAGTGTGTATTTAATTTTGTTTGTAAATCGATATCATTATCGATTTTAGATCCAACGATAGTACGTTTATAAATCAAATAAAGATTTTCTGAATAACATCGTATACATTATAAATTTAGATATATTATTATTTGATTTTATATTTTGATATTAAAATTGTTTACATAATCATAACATAATTTTTATGCTTATATCCTCTCTAAATTAATGATACCACGCAAAGGAATATAGCAATCGACAAACACAACACCAACACCTTTATCTTATCTTACAGATAAATATGATATAAATAATAATTTTTTTATTATTATTATTATAATAATTTGTATATCAAAGTTTTTTAAAATAATAATTTACCAAAATTATTATTATTATAATAATTTGTATAATAATTCCAATATTTTTGTGGGGGTAAATCGGGCTTAACCTTTTGCCTCCAAAATGGATCCATGTGCGGCTGACCATTTGACCATGGACTTATCAGTACCCGAAAAAACCAAATGTAGTCAAGAGAACCTTTTTGAAGTGAGCCACTATGCCATGAACATGTGTTGGCATTTCAATGTCTCACATTTATTTCAGCCACAAACGGCGTGTATTTGGTTTGATCAGGTAATTAACCTGACTTGGTCCTTTGCATGGAAAAGTATGACCGGGAAGAGAGAAGAGAGGTGCCTTGTCGCGTCAGAAACTTGAGATGGAAGGGTGCATGGAGAGAGTCACAGTGAGTGTGACCGTGACAACATCACACAGCACCGCCGATGTACCCCTGTTTCCACGAAGCTACAAAGCGGTGACATCACCTTGGACTCGTTATCACACGTTGGCAATTGGACGCCGTGATATATAGCCGACGGACGCCTCATGTGGCTTTGCGAAGCTAGGGTGGATGAAGGAGAGGAGGAGGAGGAGAGCAGAGTTAGGGTGGTGAAACCGTGGGGGAGAGAGAGAGAGAGAGAGAGAGAGAGAGAGACGATGGGCAGGGCTCCTTGCTGTGACAAGGTGGGCTTGAAGAAGGGAGCATGGAGTGCGGAGGAGGACAAGATTCTGGTCGACTACATCCAGCAACATGGCCATGGAAACTGGCGAGTGATGCCGAAGAGAGCCGGTAAGTCTTGAGTTGAGTACGTGATTAGCTTCGTCATGCATGCTATTGAGTACTGAGACGGTCGGACCAACTCTCTTCAGGGCTGTTGCGATGTGGGAAGAGCTGCAGACTGAGATGGACCAACTATCTCAGGCCGGACATCAAACGAGGAAACTTCACCAAGGAGGAAGAAGATACCATCATTAGCCTGCATGGGGAGCTTGGGAACAAGTAAGTTGATCATAAGCCGGTCTCTAGCATTGTTCATGTTCTTCCTACATCCGTTTCATTTACTCTGATAAAAGAGGTGATATGAATCTTCTCCTCCTCCTTTTCGGACACACAAAAAAATGCATCTTTATCTCCTGGCACATAAAGATCATTGCCACGAGGATCACATGAGCACTGGATATGCAGATTCGTACACGATATTCCATGTTCCCTCTACGGCAGATCTGTTGTCTGTCAGACGAGGAATCAAATCTTGTGATTAGGATTCGATAGAGTTTCTTACGCAGTCTTCTGCCTCCCTGTCCGCAGATGGTCTGCGATTGCAGGAAGCTTGCCGGGCCGAACGGACAACGAGATCAAGAACGTGTGGCACACCCACTTGAAGAAGCGCATGGATCCCAAGGAAGCGACGCGTGCGCCCAAGAGGGAGAGGAAGAGGAAGAAGAAACGTGACGCCAAGGACAAGCTGGAACCGGAGCAAGAAAACCAGCGGCCGGACGCAGACGCAGCTCGTCGTAGTCCGAGACGCGATGACGCAGGGCTCGTCGAAGTGTCACTGGAACAGTCCTACAGCGGCTTCTCGTCCGCCGCCACTGACTCGTCCGTGATGTCGGGAGACGCTACCGTGGACGCCAAGGACGAGAGCTTCACCTCCAAGGAACTCAAAGAGATCGACGAGAGCTTTTGGCTGGACGCGTTCGCCGTCGATGGTTCATTGCAACTCCCTCCTGCAGCAGTTGCAGACAGTGCGGCCTTCAGCGACGACATGGAGTTCTGGCTGAAGGTGTTCATGGAAGCTGATCATTTAGAGGACCCGTCGCAGATGAATCCCGCGAATGTCCATCTGAACTAACATCGATTCTTCCGGTGTTGTAGATTGCTCGATTGCCAAACGTGTGTAGTGAAAATAGCCATTGAAGATTAGACTTGATGAAGGATTGGAAATAGGAATAAGACACTGTAAAATATTATGAGAACTGACACTTACCTTCTTATTGCCACAAATCAATGTTGATTATGCTATATAATATATCAACGAGGACAGGAAATGGTTGGCCGCACATCGAAATCTCAAGCACAAAACATCTTTTTTAGCCTGAGAAATCTTTCGTGTACATCTGTGATCTAATCATTGTTCCTGGAATCAAGATTTTCCTCAGATCGTTTATACTATCTACAATCTGAACCTTCCTCTAAGATTTCCACGGAGATATCAAGTAATCTAACATCCTTTGTAGCGCTGTCTCATTCCTTCTTCTTCTTCTTCTTCTTCTGCTTCTAATAAAAATGAAGCTTTTCATGATCATCTTTTTTATTTTTGGTTCGGTTTCCTGAGGATTGAGAGTAAAGACAAAAGAAGAAGAGATGGAGAAGCAGCAACAGAAGAGAAAAATAGAAGAGGATAACGAGAAAATAATTAAAATAAATAAAACAAAAACATAAAAGAATTCCATTTCCTGAGGGATGAGAGTAAGTAGCAAAGGAAAACAAAACAATACAATATAACAAATGAAAATAAAATAAAATAATAATTAAAATAGACCACCGAAAAGAAAAAAAACTGATGAAGGAAACAAAGTGTTCTTTTTGCAGTATAAATACTAATTCTATAGTGGCTTGCGTTTATAACGGGTGATTTAGGTAATATCATGTAACGGGTGATATCATTGTAACGCTATATAATGGAAACCCCCCAAAACGGCACATGTAAACAACGTTATAATCGTTCCAACGGCCAGACGTAAACCGTTATATGGACTTCCGTCCGTCCTGTTTCCCAGGTTTTCGAGAGCCGATAGCCCCCGAATCCTAATCCTCTAATCCTCCTCCGAGACATGGCGACGACGACGACGACGATCGTATCCCGGTGCCCATTGCTTCACTCAATCGGTCAGAGGAGCCTCACAGTGATTCCGGCGGCTCCACTGGGCCCCTCTTTCATTAGGTATCCCAGCAAAACTTACCGTTGGCTTGTTGTGACGCTCTTTTGGGTGTGATTTCTAGTGTTACTTGATCTCGGGCAGGTTCTTTGGAAGACCGACGAGTCAATTACGGATAGTATGTATGGCGTCGTCTGCTGCAGGGAACCCATACGAGAGTGGTGATGAAAACCCATACGTGTTAGCACATATGTTCTCCAAATTTATCAGTCCAAGCTGCGTGACTGTTTGTAATGATTTTGGTGGCAGATAAAAGGGTTTGATATGGTGAGACTGCATATACAAGAAAGCGTAAGGATGCAGAGCGAAGGGGCGATGAAGTATATGTTGCCAAAGTAGGTTATGAATTACTAGTTTAACTTGCGCTGCGGTTGTATGGTATCTTAAACGAGCTTGTTTTGCTGTCTTCATTGCTTCTAATTATCTGTTTACTGTGTTTAACATGTTATCTGTACTCTTTATTACTTTTCCTGTTAATTTTGCTTGGTAACCATTAGTTTATCTTTCTTGTTTCAGCTAGAGAAGGCTTATGACATAATTATGGTGTCACAGCTACATAGTAGGAAAGGTTTGACATTTGGGTCATTTAAGATCATATTATTTTATAACTTTCATTTTCTTTATTTTTCTTGGTGCAACAATTGGAGAATCAGCTAGATATGAGTCTCTCTTCAGAAAAAAATGATTTTCATAAGTGCATGATTACTTTATATGTATCTTCAACATTCTTCTTTATGATAGTATAAAATTGATGCTGTCTTAGAACTTTGTGTTGGTGGCATGTTGAACTTTGTGTGGCACTTTTGACTTCTCATTCCACCATTTGAACTTTTTGGACATTGATTCAAAATTTTAAAATATTACTTGGCACTATATAGTTTCTCAAAATATTTTTGGATAATTGGATATGTTCTTCATTACTGTGATCCACAATCTATGATACTTGTTTCATCTCATTGATTTAGAGTTCTTTTGTTGCCTGATGAGATCTGGATATTCCAGCTAGCAATGATACTACTTTTGGTTTTGTCACCAAGTTTAGTATTTCCAAGCTATCATGCCTTGATAACATGAAGAATGAAATACACCAACATATCCTGCAATACCTACTAAGTAAATAATCAGAACCTAGTAACTTCATGGATGTGATTAACTAGATGGGAAGATATGGCCAAGTAAATTACAATATGGGTAGATATCAAATTCTTAGAAAATCGTGTGCAGTTGCAAAATTTGTTTGGAGTTATAGGGTGTTTGCTTTACAGCTTTTTATTGGATGTCCATGGTGACATAAATTGTTTATTTAGCTTGTAGAGCATTTTCAGAATTTCTTTTGCTCATTGTCTCAGGAACACTCTCGATGTATGATAAATCTTACTGTGTATGTGGTGCAAACTGGTATGAACTCTTTATTAGGTTGTGGTTTTTTATGTAACTTCCTCTGAGGGAACTGGCAACAGATGCATGGTTTTCTATGTGTTGGATTTCTTTTCCTACTTTATGGTGAATGTTTGTAGTCAATCATGTTTTGCTTTTGTTTCAGACATCTTGTTTTAGTGGTTTTTACCTTGCATTATATATTTTGATACTTGTTACATAACTCAGGTGTCAAAGGATATCAAGTATGCTGATAAGCAGCCAATAGTATCCTGGGGTCCAAGGTACTTGTTTGAATTATGCATTGAAATGGGCCTGTGTTTTATAATTATTGCTATATGGTTCATAAGTGTTTCATTCACTTAAAAAAAAAATATATTGTTTTAGTGGTTTTTACCTTACATTATATA